TTTTTTGCCTTCTCTAAAATTGGAAGTTGGGTTCCATGAGAGTCCTTCCGGTACCTTTATTCTGCGTTGAAGACCAGAAGGATGCAGACTCTAGGCTGAGGCCCAAGAGAAGGAGCTGCCAGGACCCTGGGGTGGAGAATGCACCCGGCTCCACCAACGTGGGCGCTGGCAGGAGCTAGGGGTAAGAGAAAGCTGGAGAGGCGTCTTTGTGCGTGCGATTCCAGGGTCACCCGAGAAGGCCAACACCAAAGCACGCACGTGGGGAACGAGTACACTTAAGGACATTTAGTATTGCTCGCGTGCTGCCCCTCCTTGACTTTCCTGAGTTAAAGTCCTATGAATGTCACCACTTTCACTAGAGGTCTGTTGTTATATGCCCTCGAGTCACTAGAGGTCAGAGGGCACAAATATCCTGACTGAATTCAGGCACAGACCTTTTCCTCTGTGGGGGAGCAGGTGTTCGCCCTTAAGACCCCGGCGATTCCTTCCACCTGTGCTCTGCCATTATTAGTGCACTCTTACCTCCTCTGGGGAGCTCTGGTGGCGTTCAGCCTAAAGCCTTTGACTGCTGATCAGAAGGCTGGCTGTTCAAACTCACCAGCCACTCCTAGGATGGACCACTGGGCAATCCATTTCCATAGAGATACCGCTTCAGAAACCCAAGAAGAGGTCGCTCTGAGTGGAAATACACTCGACAGCAGGGAGTTTGGTTTGGTTTTTAGTTTTGCCTCCTTTGAGCCCCTCTCCCAAGTAAAAATGAAACAGCACCTAGAAACTTTGCAGACTCTGTGTTCCACACTATCAATTGATCTTTCTTCTTCCTAGAAAATTCTAGAAATAATAGCTTATACTTCTTTAGTGCCTTGATCACCCTTAGCAATGAGGCTTTCTCACTCCCATCTGATGGCCCCCAGCAGTGACCTAAAATTGCTTTTTCTAAGCAGATTAGCAGAGACCTCCCACCTGCCAAATTCAAGTAAAGTTGTCAGGTATTCATTTCTTCATCTTTTTGGCATTTGACAAATTAATACTGCCTAGGTTTTATCTTTTTTGATTTTTCTATTTAGTTAAGTATCTGATTAATGGAAAATATCATAAATTGTCCACAAGTATCATTAATATTTTCTTCATCTGTTTTTCATGCCTGGTCTTTAACTCCTTAGTTGTAATCTTCATGTTCCTGTCATCCACTTATTAATCCTGTACTTGTTGCATAATCTTCATAAATAGGTTTTTAATGACTGAAAAATCAAGTGAGAGTGCCATGTTTCATGCATTCATTTCATTAATCATCATTGGATTATTAAGCTGTTGACAATTATTTACTATTCCAAATAAAAACATTTATACACAAAACTTTCTTTTCCATATGTGGGTTTCTTTTCATTGCATTATTTCCCAGAGAAGAAGTTACTGATTGAAAAATCGTGCATGTTTTTAACATTCTCAGTAGTTGTGGACATGTGGCTTTCCAAAAGAGTATAGCAGTTAACATTTATGCCAATGATGTATGCTTCACTCCATCTCATCGTCATATGATATTATTTTTAAAAAACTTATTTTTGTCATTTGGGAAGCAATATATCTTGATTTATTTTTGATATCTGCTAAGTTTGAACACTTTCTGAATACTTGTTAACCATTTACTTTATTCCTTGATGAATAAGCCATTCACAATCATTTGCTTTAGTGTTTTTCCTATTTATTTGTATTATTTCTTTCTGGAGATATGAATCTTATTAAGACCATATTTTAGTGTAAACTATAACTCATATTTAAGAGTGTATTAAACATAAATGTTCAGCTTAATGCATGATTACAAAGTAATCAGTCGTTTAAACATCATCAGGTCAAGGAATAGGGCATCACTGATGGGTGTGTCTCATTGATGATAAACTCTTCCTTCCTTGCAGAACTAACTGACTTTTATGTTAGTTACCTTGCCCCTCCTCCCATTAAAAAATATGGCTTTAACACCTATAGATGCATCCTTAAATGGTATAGTTTAGTTTTCTCTGTTTTGATCTTCTTATAAATGGAAGTATACAATATATATTCCTTTGGGTTTAGTTTCTTTGACCAAATACTGTTTATGAGATTCCTCCTGTGGCATATGCTGAGATTATATATTTTCATTGTTTTATAGAATTTCATTATATGAATTTACTACAGTTTATTTATTGGTTCTATTATTGATGGGCATTTGAGTCTTTTCCAGTGTTTAGGAATTTTACCACCAATGCCACTGTGGCTGTTGTATACGTTCCCTGGTGTATCTGCCCACACATTTCTATTAGGTACATTATTTTATTTTTTTTTAATTTAATTTATTTTGTTGTTGTTGCGAATGTACATAGCAAACACACCAATTTGGCAATTTCTGCATGTACAGTCAGTGGCACTGATTACGTTCTTCCAGTGGTGCGGCCATTCTCACTCCCTTTTCTGACTTGTTCCTCCCCCATTAGCATAAACTCACTGCCCCCCTAGAGTTTCTGGCTAATACTTGGAGTTGCTATTGTCAATTTGTTCCCAGATAGATAGTTGTTGTTGTTGTTCTTCTTCTTCTTCTTTTAAAATACATTTTATTGAAATATAATTTATGTATAGTGAAATACACAAAACTAAAATGACATGGGTCTCCCCCCAAAAAAAGAGCATGATGCTGGGCCACAGGATACTTATAGCTCCAATTTTTAATTTACAATAGTTTTTTTAAAAATTTTAGAATAGTTTTAGATGAACAGAAAAAGAGTTCCCACATACTTCTCCTCTGAATTCCCACTGTTGTTAACATCTTACATTACTATGGTATATTTGTCACAACTAAGACTAGTAATTAAATTCAACACCTTATTCATATTTCACTAGTTTTTCCCTAATGTCTTTTTGTTCCTAGATCCCTTCTGATAGTTCACCACATATACTTTGTCATCTTAGTGTCCTCTGATCTCGTTTTCGATGACTTTCACGGTTTTGAGGACTACTGTTGAGGTATTTTGTAGAATGTTCCTCGGTTTGGGTTTGTCTAATGTGCTTCTCATGGTTAGACTGAGATTATGAGTTTTAGGAGAGGAAGACCATAGAAGTGAAGCCATACTCATGCCATCATATCAAGAGTATATACTATTAACCTGGCTTATCACTGATGATGTGAACCTGCATCACCTGGCTCAGGTAGTGTTTGTCAGATTCTCCACTGTAAAGTTACTTTTCCAATTTCCATATGTTCTTTGGAAGCAAGTCGTTGGCACAGCCCGCACTTGGGAGGTGCAGGTTTTAGCTCTGCCTCCTAGAGGGGAGCATATCTACATAAACTATTAGGAATTCTTCTGTGAAAGAGATTTGTCTCCCCTCCCTTGTTTATTGACTTATTTCTAGGCAGAAAGTGGAGTGAGTTGATCTGTGCCTCATTCCCCCTCATGTACCATATTCTTTGTGTCCTGAAGGAGTTTCACTGTTTCTGTGATGGTTCTTCACATTTATTACTTTTTTCTTCTTTTAAAAATTTACTGCAGAACCTGTTTTTGCCACATCTTAGTTGTAATCTAGACTGTTTCTGCAGTGTGGTTTAAAAAACCCTAAAACAGCTAATAAACCAAATCAAACTCACTGCCATCAAGTTGTTTCTGACTCATAGAGACCCCATTGGATTTCCGAGGCTGTAAATCTTTATGGAAGTAGATCACCCCGTCTTCCTTCCACGGACCATCTGGTGGGTTTAAACCGCTGATCTTCTGGTTAACAGTCAGTGCCTTATCCACTATGCCAACACAGCTGATAGCTCACCAGTTATAGGATAAACTCCTGATTTACCATATCATTTTTTAGATAATTCACATTCTTTTTGAGAATGTCTCCCTTCTGTATGGTTTTGCCCCACCCCCACCATCCATTTTTCCTTTCCAAACACAGAAGGAGGCATTATGGAAGAATGGAAAGGGCAAGGGATTTAGAATCCATTTCCAGCTGTACCACTCACTACTTTGTCTCCTCAGGCAAACTACCAATGAGGAATTTGAGATGTAGTTTTGAGTGATTAACTGGAATGCTCATGCTGAATAAGAAATTGAATGAGATTCTTAAGATGGCTGATCAATAAAGAGAAAATACAGGGCTCAAAAGACTAGGAACTGATGGAGTTTGAATAACTAGCAATGGGTGTGAGGGCATGAAACTGCTTAATGGATGGGGAATAGGTTATGGGAGTTTATAGTTTGTTAGAATAATTGTTAATAAAGTCTGGGTTGAGGGTGCCAGAGAAATGCTGCAATAAAATAAGATCATGGGAGTTGGGGTCAAGGATATGAGAGAATGCTGCTTTGGATAGGCTTTAACATTGAATGAACAGAATAATTGTGTGTGTGTGTGTGTGTGTGTGTGTGTGAGAAAGGAGATTGTGAGCTAGGAACACAGAACTTCAGTAACTGCATATGGATTTGTGACCAGAAATGGCATAACAAGAAGAGGTCGCAAGTGGTATATTCCTATTACATGTGCTTCAGGAATAATAAGATGTTGGTAGAAGTACTTTCTAAGCTGAGCTATATGTTGGTTGTTGATGGAGGAGGGAAAAGATAAGGCAAGTTACCAATACTTAGTAAGAGCCTGTTGTGTACCTATTGATATACAAACCCCAGTTTATTTAATCCACATTACATTCCTCTGAGGTTAGCCCTTATATCCCCACTTGGCAGAAGAATAAACTGAAATTCAGAGAGATGAACTGTATTTCTTACATCATAAGTGATGCAGTTGAGAATAAATTTGGGGAAGATAGAAGAAATACATGGTAGAGTGGGGTCTATATTAGAGAAATGTTTTATGATAGAACATATAGAGGGCACTAGGTCATTGCTGAGCCAATTACAGTTGGCTTCAACAAAGGCTGAATTAATCTATATTTTTACTGGTGTTTAATTTTCTAATCATTTTCTTCCATAGGTACCATTTATTCCATGTTCTTATGATTATTTTTTCCTACTGATCTTTGGAACAAGATGGCAGCTTCATCATCATCATCTTTCTTTTCTGATTTTGGGCTACTGTTGTATTTGGAGGAGTTGGACAAAGAGGAGTTTAATAAATTTAAGTTACTCCTAAAGAATGAGACCATAGAACCTGGGCATCGCCAGATACCCTGGACTGAAGTGAAGAAGGCCAAGAGGGAGGATCTAGCTAACCTGATGAACGAGTATTATCCAGGAGAGCAGGCCTGGAGTGTGGCTCTCAAAATACTCAGCAAGATGAACCTGAAGGATCTGTGTGAGAAAGCAAAAGCAGAGATCAGCTGTGAGTATTGTTAGGGACAGATCTTGGGCAAGAGGGAAGGAGTATTTCTTGGAGCCCATTAGAAGGATTCTATAAGAGGGACTTAGGAATTAAACCATGTGATTGGACACAAGTTTCATGGTAGTTATGTACATTAAGGGCTTGCTGGATCATTTCAGAACCACTGAAGGGACAAGAGGATGTTGAATACTGTTATTCAGCCTGGCTTCTTAATGGGATTAACTCATCCATCTTGCACTAATCAGAGTAATTAAAGGAATTGAGTGATAAGAATTATCCCATTATCTGGTGTGCCTTTACCACAACTATACTTAATGTTGTTGTTATATGCTGTCGAGTCATCTCCAACTCATAGTAGTCTTTCCTTGGGTTTCCAAGGCAGTATCTCTACAGAAGTAGATTGCCCAATCTTCATTCTGAGGAGTGGCTGGTGGGTTTGAACTGCCAACATTCTAGTTAGCAGTCAAGTGCCTTAGACACTGTGCCGCCAGAACTCCCAATTAAAGTAATAGGCTAGTCTAAATTTTGAGAATCTCAAATATTAATTTATCATCTTTGCTGAAATGTGAGGAATGGGCTTGACATAATTCAGGGACATAAGCCAAGCCAATTCTTTTAGTCATTCTCTGGTATGATATATTGTAGGCCCTCTTACTACCTAAAATTTCTTACTCATACATGGCTGCTGCTGCTGTTGTTATGTGCCATTGAGTCGGACCCAACTCATAGCGATCCCTCCTTAGGTTTCCGAGGCAGTATCACTACGGAAGTAGATTGCCCAACCTTCCTTCCGAGGAGTGGCTGGTGGGTTTGAACCACCAGCCTTCTGGTTAGCAGTCAAGTGCCTTAGGCACTATGCTACCAGAGCTCCTTATACATGGCTATAGAGCTGCAATTAGCTCAGTACTCTGAAGTGAATATAGACAGGGAAACAGGTTTAGACTAGACCACCTGCCAAATAGTTATGGGTATTAGCATGTGGCAAGAAGTTTCCAATTTCATTATTGTTTGTATCGCATCAGTTGTGCCTGCAGCTAAGCTGGTGGAGTCTGAGACTCTCTTGGCTGTAATTTTCCCAAACACACCCCATAGATAGAGTTGGACCACTGACATGAAGATGCTGGCCACTGTTTTGGCCATTATCAAAGCTCCCCTTTCTCATGTTGCAGTGGCAGCCCAGACCATGGGACCAGAGGACAAGGCCAGAGAGGACCAGGGAGTTCAGGAGCCAGTGCTAGGTGAGTTCTGAGAAACATTTAAATTGTGATTGAAGGAAGGAATCAGACTTAATTAGCTAAAGATGAAGCCATATTTTTCTATTTAGATACTTTTAAGTATATTTTTTTCCTTCAAAACATGCTTCAGGCTGTGCTTCAATGTTGATCTCAATTTTTTACTTATATACAGTGAATTACTTTCACCTGTAGATTCAGGTCTGTCTGTAGGGTCCTCACTATTATATTTAATTATTGCTTCTGTTTTTTTTTTTTAATCCGTATGATGACTGTTCTCCACATATTTTTTGTAAAAGAGAAAATAGTTCTAGAGAGAATGGATTTTAATTTTCTATCACTAATTCATTTTTTGCTTTGTCATTTTTTCAACACTTCTAATGTATGTTTTAATTCTATAAGAATAGTTTTTTTCTATTTATTTTCCTATCTAAACCAGTTTCGTTTTGATTTTAGCCTATATTATTTCTTGTTCATAACTCCAAACGTAGTATTAACATTGCAAGTTGTAGGATTTGTTTTGGTCATATGTGCCACTGTTTTTTTCCCCCCTCTTCTCCATCCTAACTACTTAGGTGATGGAACACAATACAGAATTCACATAAAAGAAAAGTTTTGCACCATTAGGGACAAGAACCGTTTGCTTGGAGAACCTGAAGATTTACGTCATGAAATTACTCAGGAAGATCGAGAACTGTTGGAACATTTGTTTGATGTGGACGTCCAAACTGGTGAGCAGCCACGGACAGTGGTGCTGCAGGGGCCTGCTGGCGTTGGGAAAACCACCTTGGTGAGAAAGGCAATGTTAGATTGGGCAGAGGGTAATCTCTATCAGCAGAAGTTTACGTATGTTTTCTATTTCAATGCAAGAGAAATTAACCAACTGAAAGAGAGGAGCTTTGCTCAACTTGTATCAAGGGACTTGCCTAGCACAGAAGACCCCATTGAAAGGATCATGTCCCAGCCAGGTAGTCTTCTTTTTATTATTGATAGTTTTGATGAACTGAACTTTGCTTTTGAGGAACCTGAGTTTGCACTGAGCAGTAACAGGACCCAGGAACACCCAGTGTCCTTCCTCATGAGTAGTTTACTGAGGAAAGTGATGCTCCCTGAATGCTTCTTATTGGTAACAACGAGACTCACAGCCTGTAAGAAACTAAAACCTTTGTTGAAGAGTCACCGTTATATAGAGCTAGTAGGAATGTCTGAAGATGCAAGAAAGGAGTATATTTACCAGTTTTTTGAATATAAGAATTGTGCTGTACAAGCATTCAGTTCACTAAGAAACAATGAGATACTTTTCAACATGTGCCAAGTCCCCCTAGTATGCCGGATCATTTGTACTTGTCTGAAGCAGCAAATGGAGAAGGGAGCTGATGTCAACTTGACCTGCCAAACTACCACATCTCTATTTAAATGCTATATCTCTAGCTTATTCACACCTGTAGATAAAAGCTGTCCCAGTCTACCCAACCAAATCCAACTGAAGAATCTGTGCTACTTAGCTGCCAAGGGAATATGGACTATGACATATGTATTTTACAAAGAGAATCTCAGAAAGCATGGATTAAATAAATCAGATGTCTCAATTTTCCTGGACATGAATATTCTTCAAAAGGATTTAGAGTATGAAAATTGCTACGTGTTCACTTACCTGCATGTTCAGGAGTTTTTTGCAGCTATGTTCTATATATTGAAAGGCAAGTGGGAAACCAGGGGCTATTCCCACCAGCCTTTTGAAGACTTGAAGGTGTTACTTGAAAGCAGAGCTTATGAAGACACTCATTTGATGCAGATGAAATGTTTTTTGTTTGGCCTTTTGAATGAAGATAGAGTAAAACAACTGGAGAAAAGTTTGTATTGTAAAATATCATGGGAGCTGAAATGGGAGTTACTTCAGTGGATAGAAACATTAGGAAACAATGAATGTTCTCTATCACAGTTGAGATTTCTGGAATTGTTTCACTATCTGTATGAAACTCAGGATGAATCATTCATAAACCAGGCAATGAGCTATTTCCAAAAGGTTGTCATTAATATTTGTGGGAAGATCCATTTGCTTCTGTCTTCATTCTGCCTTAAGCACTGCCAATGTTTATGGACCATTAAACTGTCTGTAACTGTATTATTTGAGAAGATGTTAAACTCCAGGCCCCCAGCTGAAACTTGGTAAGTGTATTAGGTCAATTGCCTAGAAGTGCCTTGTACAAGGGTAGTTAAGGAAGTAGATTGTGTCAGAGAGAGTAGCTGCTTTAGCTGAAGATATAGAATGGGGATGAACCTTCAGAATTGTCCCACTTTAAGGCAAGGAGGCCAGGTATTCAAACCCACTTATTGACCAGCCATGCCTGCTGGTGAGGAATTAGTGAAAGCTTGGGTGAGATGACTCTCATGCCTGAGGGCAGTGCCAGGAGAGGATCTTGTTTGTGGGCTAGTCTGTCAGTGTTCCCCAAAACTAGGAATGAGTGCTTCACGTCATTGGGGATGTGACAGAGCAATCTTGCATCCATAGTAGTAAGGGTACTTACTTTTTTAAAATAATGCCCTCCAGAATAGTAAGGGACCAGTAGTTTCTTCCTTCTGAACCAGGTGCATATAGGTCATCTGTCTGGTCTGTCTGCTGCTGTACTCTGCTGACCTAGCTCACTTTCCCCGTTGCCTCGATGTAAGTCTGCCTTTGTTTTGCAATTTATGAAAGGTTTCATGCCTGAAGCACCTATTTAGAGAGAGTCAGAGGTAGACATAGAATGAATTAGTAGGTGCGGAATGAATATTTTGGAAAGAATGAACTAACCATCTGAGTTTTATGTATATTATTCTACCCTATCCCCTTCTTCAAGTTGCATTTCCTGACCCGACTCTTCTAAGTCTGGGAGAAGAATTGAACTATGGAATTTAGTTAAGCCAGATTTAATAAAAAATTGAGGACATGCTATGTATTATATAGTATATAGTGAATCAGGTATTTAATACATCCAACTGAATGCTGGTCACAATGATATCCCTTTTTTTTTTTTTTTTTTTAAGATTACAAAACTGAGATTCATAGAGATTCAAAGCAGAGGTGAGTTAGGATGCGGGACTGTTCTGCTCCAGATCTTATGCTTGTAACCATTAGGCTGTTTTATTCCTTATTACCCTTCCTTTGTTTATAATGAGTCTATTGATAATATGCCTAATAATTAAATTATACAGCACCTAAAAGTTTACAAAATGCCTTTATATACTCACTAAAATTGTCTATTAAATCCTTACAAGCCTGTGAAGGGAGGTGACATTTCCATTTTATAGAAAACTGGAGCTCATAGAACTGAATGACTTGCTTAAAGTTAATATAGCTAGTAAGTGGTTGAACTGAGGCTCAAAGTCTATGGCTTTTAACCTATACCATAGTTCCCCAATATTTACTCTCTAATCCTAATCTTGCTCTTTGTAGTCATATATTGTTTTTCCTTTTGATACGGGCTCTTTGAGTATTTGAAGAGTTTTCTCTTATCCCTCCTGAGTCTCCTCCTCCAAGGTGAAGTCTCTCTAGTTTTTATTGTGTGTTTGTAGAGGGGATGAATGGGGCATGGAAAAGCTACTGGGGGAAAAAAAGTCTTGAAGTGCCAAGAATAAGATTTCCAGGTGGACTGTGCTCATGCCAAAGCTGCACTGGAGGCTCTTGCCATTTCTGAAGTATACTTACTTTCACCCCAAGGCTAAAAGTTGATTAATGGGTCTTTTTCCAATTATTTAGGCAAAAGGATCATGATCACATTATTCATTGCTGGCAAGACCTCTGTTCTGTGCTTCATACAAATGAATACTTGAGAGAATTGGACCTATTTGATAGCAACCTTGATGAAGTAGCAACAAAGATTCTTTATCAAGAACTAAGGCACCCAAATTGTAAACTACAAAAACTACTGTAAGTCTGGCATGAAAAAATTTAGTGGCGTTATTTCAGTTTCTTTCTTTGTCCCACCTCGTACCTCTGTTTATTAGAGGAAACCAATGGTAAACTAATACTTAAAGTCCATTGCATAAAATAATAACATGAAAAAAAAAAAAAAGTAATCTCTGGGGACACAGGAACATAACTCGTTCTGGGAAAGAGTCCACAGAGCCTAGTAGCTGATTATATGCATTTCTGACCTTTGATTGTGAATTTTCCAGATGAAGGACTCAGAGTTAAGGCTTTCTAGGCAGGTCAACAACACATTTTCCAAGACATGTCCTGGAACACTGACATGTTATATTCTGTCCCCAGTTATTATTTTTTAAATTGAGAACTGAATTACATTGAATAAAAACACAAAGATATCAAGTGTTCAGTTCATTTAGTTGTTTTTTTTTTTTTTTTAATCATAATTTGGGTGAAAGTTTACAGAGCAAATTGGTTTTCCATTCAGTAATCTACACATTCTGTTTTGTGAGATTAACTACAATCCCCACAATACAATAGCATTCTTCCTACTTTCATTTCATTGAGTTTTAACAATTATATATGTCTTAGTAATTTAGTGGTGCTCTGACAGAACTACCACAAATGGGTGGCTTTAACAAATTTATTTTCTCACCGTTTAGGAGGCTAGAAGTCCAAATTCAAGGTGCTGACTCTAGGGGAAGACTTTTCTTTCTCTGTCAGCTCTAGAAGGAGGTCCTTGTCTCAGATTTTGCTCCTGGGTGATTTTCATGTGCCTTGGCATCTCTTCCCCCATCTCTGCTGTTTAGTTTGCTTGTTTAATCTCTATTATATCTCCAAAGACATTGTCTGAAGACACACTTGTCAATAATTCTGCCTCATTAACATAACAATACAACCCATTCCCAAATGGGATTCTAACCACAGGCCTACAGGTTAGGATTTACATTTATTTTTGGGTGACATAATTCAGTTTATAACAGTATACATCTATGAAACGAACATTCAAAACAAGATAGAAAATATTTCACCCAAGAGTTTCCTTGTACCTCTTTCTAGCTAATCCTCCCACCCTGCTAGGTTTCAAACAATCACTTTCTAACTTCTGTCACCATGATTTAATTCTGTTCTGTTCTTGGAAATTCTTTACATAGATTAATAGAGTATGTATGTCTGTGTGTATGTTTTCTTTTACTTCACAAGATGTTTTTAAAATTTATCCATGTTGTTGCATGTTTCAGTAACTTGTTTCTTTATATTGCTGATTAGCATTCAATTGTATGTCTTGACTGTTTGTTTATTCCTCTCATATTAAAAGACCCCTGGAGTTGTTTCCAATTGTGAGGTCTTATGAATAAGGCTGCTCTGAGTATTCTTGTAAGAGTTTTTTTTTTTTTTTTTGTAGACATAAATTTTCATCTCTTGGGTTAATATGTAGGAGTAGAATTGCTAGTTCATAGATTTATGTTTATCTTTTAAAGAAATTTTTAAGAAATTGTCAAACAGTTCTCCCAAGTACCATTTTATACTCCCACAAGCAATATATGAAAGTTCCAAGTATTCCTCATCTTTGCCAACGTTTGCTATTGTCAATCTTTTTTTAAAATTTTATCTTAGATCATGTATATTTATTACTTTTCTATGTTTGGTTATTTGTGTGTGTCTATTTGCTCTAGTAGAAGCTGACTAATCCTATTTTTTCCTCTGTATCCAGTGTCCAACAATGAGGGTCCACTAGGTGCTCAGCAGTATAAATTGAATGCTGAATAAATGCTAGATATTGTTTCAATTAGTACTGAAAATAAATACTCATTTTCTTTTTGACAGGTTTCCCACCAAATATTTTCCTTAGAATATCAGTGCTTACATTGAATTCTGACTTTAGATTTCAAGCAACTAGAGGACTGGTCCTGCAACTGGGTATATGTTGTGATTAAGAGTTCCTGGACGTTCTTTCTGCTGACCCTCAACTCCCCTTTTTTCCCCCCAGATAGACACACACATTGTCTCTTCATTGTATTTCACCAGTCCAAATCTGAACAATAGTTAATGCCTTATTTTGGGTTAAAAGTTTTCCTCAATAGCTAATGCCTTATTTTGGGTTAAAAGTTTTCCTCTTTTCGAATGCAGGTGTTCCTTAGGGGGGGGTGACACCATAAGATTGCTCTTGGTCTTTCTTACCTTAATGTGGCCTTATTTACTTAGATCCTTCTCTGATAACAAGTGAGACTGTATTTTGAATTTGTATTTAATGACTGTATTAGGCACTTTTACTATGTGATGATGGTTAGTCCTCAAGATGGAAATGGGTAAAAGTTGTTTTTTTTTTTTTTTTTTAATGTGTGCTTGGCTGGGGAGATAAGGGTAGATGGTAGGTAGGGAAAAAGGGAGGGGAAGGTGATATTACAAGTGGAGGTTTTCTGAATAGTGAACAGTGTGAACATACTTAGGGCTAGCAGCAGGCACTAGAGAGGAATCAAACATAGCTAAAACTGAATTGAGGGGAAAAATAGGAAGAAAAATTGTAGGTTTAACTTGCTTCACATGTTGCTTTAGGCAGTCTGTGTAGTATAACAAACTTCACAAAATGATCAGACATACTTTGCAATCATGTGTTGATTATCACATATAGTTGATATTAACTGTGAGCTCACTTTGGCTTTTCTAATGGATTTCAGTATTGTAAATTAATGTTGCAACTGCAGTATTTGGAATGTCTCTAATTTTGGGGAAAATCACTCCTGGAATTAAATTAAATTAAATTAAGAGGCTTCTCCTCCCATTTCCTGATGGATGTTACCACCTTCATCTTTCCCTTCAAGGTTTAAAAATGTCATCTGGCAGCTCGTAAATGGACATCAAGTTGTAACTCAATTGTTTCCCTCAGTGATACCCTGAAACTTGGATTTATGACCTGATTTTGAATAGGAGAAACCCAGAGTAAGATAAGAGATGGCAAGAATAGTCAGATAATATCCAAGAGTTGTATTTGAAGACAAAGGGATATAGTAACCAGAGACAGATGATTTTGTAACACCACTCCCATCGATATTTTTCTTTTGAAGGTTGAGATTTGTTTCTTTCCCTGATGATTGGAAGGGTATCTTTGGTTCTTTGACTCAGAACCAGAATCTGATACACCTGGACCTGAAAGGGAGTGATATAGGGGATAATGGAGTAAAGTCATTATGTGAAGCCTTAAAATGCCCAGAGTGTAAAATACAGAATCTGAGGTAAGTCTTTGTTATTCTTTGTAATTAATACTTTTCTCTGTGCAAATAGAACCCTTCAGTTGAGACTTTAACAGTGTCTTCCACTGATAATCCTTTATGTGGATCCAGTTACCAGACTTTCAAGTGGGAAATCATCTGTATAGATCACCTGATAGGGCTTCTTGCACCAATAAATAGGATGGTTTGACAGAAATCATTAGAGCTATGTAATAATCTAACAACACATTATGTAGATCTGGATGTTTTCGCAGTGTGGGTGGCCACTGGGGAGTAATCAAATCTTGTAGGCCGTCTATTCACATTTCATGTAGGAAAAGTTCCAGATTTCTGTATGCTTTAGACCCCTTGCTATGAGAGTTATGGAGGGTGTAATTGGCCACTTTAGTCTGGTTTGTGCACAGATCATGTTGTTTTATATTTTTTAGCATTTTAGTTTGATGTTTGATTCTCCCTATTGATTTTAGATGGTGTGGGCAATCAAAGTATTGATAAGTTTGTATGTTTTTGTCTGTCTGACCTGCAAAGTATGATCCCTAATTATTATTATTATTTTTTGCTTTATGTTTTTATTCCTCTTATAAAGCATTATATGCTTGCTTATAAAATGTGAACATCTCCATCTATTTCTTCATTCTTCTTTCCCAACCTTATTCCCTCCAACGGTAACACAAGGAGCATTCGAGGCTGTTTCTTTCCATACTTTTTTCTTCATATGCACACAGACATACACTTAACACTTTTTTTTTTTCCTAATGAGATCAAACTGTATATATTACTCAGTAACTTGCTTTTTCCCCCTCAATGCTTATCATAAACAACTTTCAATGGAAGTTCTTATAGCTTTATTTTATTCTTCTGAATGTTGCATTGTAGAGCAGATACTCAGTGCTTTTCCCAGATCCCTTCCAATCTTTTTATCATTTCACTGGCTTATGTGGTTTTTTTGCTTTAGCTGCCTACACCTGCAGCTTTCTTCTGAGGCTGGTATTGGGCTTCTGACACTCTTTTGCTGGCAAGCATCTAGAGGTGGGAGAGCTTGCAGGATTATAAAAGCTGAGTTCCTTGCCTCCAGTTGGGACAAATCCTAAGGTATATTTTCTACTCTAGAATTCCCTAAAGGAATCAAGCTGAGGCTGGGACTTTGTCTGAAATCACACCCTGACTTGGCTTCTTCCCCTTCCCTGTCCAGCTTCCAGACTCCTTCACTGTGATCCCTAATTATTGTAAGGACTTTACAAATTTAGAAATAAAGTATCTCATGAAATTTAAATTACTGAGTCTTATATAGCCCTTGAAAATAGACATATTGAAAAGGTATACACGATCACTCATGTGAATGTTTCATTATAATATTTACTAAAGGCTCCCCTCAAAGGGAGAAAGATCTGCTCACCTTGTGTAGATTACTTTTCCACCTTATGGAACTGATACAGGGCACTCTTAAAGCATATTGAGCAAAGAAGTTGTCTTGAATCCTTGGCTCCCATTGTAAGAAAACATTGTTCTGTCCACTTAACAGCTTTTTGCTGCTAAGAGTTTGACAATATGCAGATGAATTCTCTTACCACTGAAAATTTTGATACTTAGTCTCACCAGTTTTTACAGAATAAAATTCACTTATAGTTTATCTGGAAAGTTGTTGGATAATTCTTGAACATAGGTTGGGGCAGGCTTCCCAGAAGACCCCAATGTAGACTAATCTATTTCCTCATTTTGTTGGGTCATATTTAGCGGTCAGCATGGTGCTACCATCTGTTCTCAGCATCCCTTTTGATAGCGTCATTGGTGGATGATGTTATGTATTAATATAAATGAAATAAGACATCGAACTCTAGAAAAACAAAGCAGAGTGATACATATATATAAAGATCATTATCACCTCTCCTCTTACATTCTTTCTTTATTTTCCAAGTCTCTCCTCTCCCCTTCCATACTTTGTTTCATTGTACCCTGTACACAACTGCTATTGGAATCCTAATTTAACTGGGTTTGATGAGGATGACTGTATAATAGAAGTGTAGAGGTTGTGAAGAAGAAAAGCATGAACTTTGGGAATGGACTGATCCTATCTGTGTTTCTCCTTCAGTCTGGAAAGGTGTGGCCTCACAGTGGCTGGTTGTGAGGATCTGTCTTCTGCTCTCATCGGCAATGAAAGGCTGAAACATTTATCCTTGGCAGACAACACCTTGGGTGACGGTGGAGTAAAGCTTATTAGTGATGCCTTGAAACATCCACAGTGTACTTTACAGAGCCTTGTGTAAGTGCCTACTAATTTTTGTCCTTCTGATATAATACACATTTTGAAATATGTTTAATATGGGATATTATGAATATATTTTGTTTCTTGCTTCCCCCTCACTGTTATCCTTAATGATAATGAAGGTGATGATGATGATGATGATTATATTGGTATTGCCATATATTGTGTCCTTATGCCATGCTCAGCACTATCCTAAATTTGCTTAACCTGCAATGTAACAACCTGTTGAAGTCAAACGGGCTACATGAGTTCTAGGTGCCTTATTGTACAGATGAAGAATGTAAAGCTTAGAAAGATTATGCAACTTGCCTAATGTCTCATAATAAGAAAATTTTCAATTCAGGATAAAGTCCACCATGGTCTGGGGTCAGAACAAAGTAAATATATATCCATACTGGATCACAGTGTGATCATTCTGCTAATATTTATTAGATGATCTCTTAGATGGAATTGTTGGGCCAAAGATATTATTTTGTTATACGAATTAAGAGATTTTCCAGAAAGGCTGTTTATATTCCCAGCAGCAGTCTAAGGGCCTGTAAGTTAATAACCTCATGGGGTATCCGTAATCTTTTTAATCAGTATTAATCAGATAGTTGAAAAAATAACTTTTAAAATTATTTGATATTAAGCATCTTTTCAAATGCTTTTGGCTGTTTATATTATAGAAATGGCTTCTTCATAGGCTCACTTTCCTACTAGATTATGTTCTTTCTGATTTGAAAGAGCTCATTATCTGTTATGGTTATCGGCATTACATATGCATTATTAATATGTTTCCTAATTTGTTGCTTGATTTCTGACTTTCTTTATGGTCATGTTTACAATATAGAAATTTAAAAATTTTATGATATCAAATTATTTTCTTCATGACTTCTAGAGTTTTTGTTATAATTAGAAATACTTATCTTCTAAAAAATATTTTTAAAATATCCACTTAATTTTCTAATACTCTTTATAGTTTAACTTTTAATATATTAAATGTTTAACTTATCCAGAATTAATTTTGTTATAATATAAACTTATTTTCCCCTCATATGCCAGGTCTTTTGTCACAAAATCATTTATGGCACAATCTGTTTTTTCTACTGATTGGAAATGCCACTTTTATTATGTGTACAAAGAGTATGTACCTTTATTGTGATTACTCTTACTACGTCTGCTTGCTCTTTTATTCCATGTAACTACTCCAGCATCAGAGTACAAATTTGTGTACAATAAACAGGTTAATTTTCGATCTGAATAAGAAAACTTCTGAAGAACATGAATCCGGTTGGTAGTTCACTTTGGTACAGACCTAAGTTTCCCAAATGAAAAAGCCAAAGAGGCAAAAAGGAAGAAGAGGTGTTTGATCTGAGAAGGAAGGGCAGACAGTGTTGACAGGTAGCTAAGGGATTCTAACATGAAATCTTTTCAAAGATACGCATTTCTGGGCAGTAGAGCAATGATACCATCTTTCCTCACATTCTTCTTCCTGTGGGTTGAGGCGCTGCATTTCACTTTACTTGTTGTTTGTTAAGTGCCATACATAGAGTTGACTCCAACTTATATTGACCCTGTTACAACAGGACAAAACAGTATATGGTCCTGTACCATCCTCAGAATTATTGCTGTGTTTGAGTCCATCATTATAGCCATGGTGTCAATCCACCTCAGTGAGGATCTTTCTTTTTTTTTCACTGATCCTGTACTTTATCAAGCATGATGTCCTTCTCCAGGAACTGGTCCCTTCTGATAACATGTCCAAAGTATGTGAGACGAAGTCTCAACCATCCTCACTTCTAAGGAGCATTCTGGCTGTACTTCTTCCAAGACAGAATCATTTGTTCTTCTGGCATTCAATGGTATATTTAATATTCTTTGCCAACACCATAATTCAAAGGCATCAGTTCTTCTTGTTGGCTTGTTCACTTCACTTAGCAGTGCATATCTCAACTTTTCTTCTACTCAGCAGGAGCCTGAGACATGTGGATCTGGGATCAATTTGTTTAAAAGATAATTGAGTAAAGCTGCTGTGTGATGTCTTTTTGGCATCCAAGTTGTAATCTTCAGGAGTTAGAGTAGATTTTTTGTGACTTTACTTTTGGGTAGCTTCAACTAGAGTTTCCACAAGGACATATCTGGACAGACAGTGTGAGAGCTGAGTATTTGTCATAGAAAAGGACAGCTGATTCTCACTCTTGGTCTGCCTGAAACAAGGTAGGGAAATGTGTTATTAAATTTTTTAAAAAAATACATTAACTTGAATAGTTGATCAACTTTCCTCAGATAAGGGGCACCAGAGACATCAGTCTGAACAGTTGCCACATACCATTGTGTTAGCCCCAAGACACTGTTTATGAGTATAAGCATTTTTTTTTACAAATTTTCTCTTACTGCCTCCATCGTCGTCTTTTTTTTTTTAATCTTGGTTATGCCCCACTGAATCTACTTAATATCTGTGATGCTGAAATTGTGCTCTACTAGTTTTTTTCCCCCCCTTAAACTCAAGTTTATAATTCAATCAGCTTTTATAGAAACTATAAAAGGAATTTAAAAATATATCCTACAATCAAATAATTCTTTAATAGCAAATGCTTTATTTCTATTACGTTCTTTCTTATTCTCTGAGCAAGTATGTATGTATACATACACGTACTCACTGCCGTTGAGTTGGTCCCAACTCATAGCGACCTCTTGGGTTCCCAAGGGGGTTTCACTACAGAAGTAGATTGCCCAACCTTTCTTCCGAGGAGTGGCTGGTGGGTTTGAACTGCCAGCCTTCTGGTTAGCAGCCAAATACCTTAGGCACTATGCCACCAGAGCTCCCATACATATACATATACATATACATATACATATACATATACATATACATATACATATACATTCCAGAAGGAAGGTTGGGCAATCTACTTCCATAGTGATACTGCCTCGGAAACCCAAGGAGGGGTCGCTATGGGTTGGATCTGACTCTACGGCAATGGTTGCATTTGCGTTTGCATTTATGTATAGTTCTGGTGGCGCAGGGCCTAAGGCATTTGTCTGCTAACCAGAAGGTTGGTGCTTCAAATCCACCAGCTGCTTCGCAGAAGGAAGTTTGGGCAGTCTACTTCCATAAAGATTTACTGCCTCAGAAACCTAGTGAGGGGTCGCTATGAGTCAGATCTAACTTGACAGCAGTGAGTTTGGTTTGGTTTGGTTTATCTCTACAGAAGTGGATTGCCCAATCTTCCTTCTAAGGAATGGCTAGTAGGTTTGAACCACCAGTCTTCTGGTTAGCAGTCAAATGCCTTAGGTACTATGCCACCAGAGCACCTTCATTTCAACTATAGGAATATAATTTGTAAGTGACATACAAGTTCAAGGTCTTTGTTTAGCACATTTTCTCACCTTAGCATTTGCTGTAAACACACACAGAGAAATTTGTGCTTTCTTAGTACTACCTTCATGGACTCTTTGTAGGTCATGCCAATTTTCTCAAAAAATAATTATGACAATTACAAGCTAGATGCTGAGGAGACTAGAGCTTACTAAGGAAATGTGTTTGTCCTTAAGTAGCTTACCAAGTGGTGAAGAAAAGGAACTATAAAGCCAACTATGATACATTCTATATGTTATAATGATATGGCAAAAATTCCAAGGAGCGATGAATGCGACTTTACAGAGAAGAAGGAGTTATTTTAGGTTTGAAAGATGAAGATTTTGTTACATGGAGATATCCTGGGAAGAAGGAAAGAAGAAAGTAAATAAGGACAATAATGAAGGATGTGTGGTATACTTGGAGAATGATAGGTATGATTAGAGAACAGGATGGGGAGCAAAGTTTGGAAAGAAGAGCTTATGGCCAGATTGTCAACACTCTTGAATCCCACACAAAGGACCTGGGAGATAACAGCTTTTCACACATAGCTTTCTTCTTTTTTGGGACATGACAATTTGAGAGTTTCCTGGAAAGCTTTTTTATTTCAAAAATATATTTTAAAATGAAAGCTTAGAGAACTGTGGGTTCCTTAGGAAAGCTTATATCCATTTTTTTAGTACTGGTAGAAATCCTGGTAGTATGTCTTTATACCCTTGATTTAGGAAGATTGGTTGTTGTTGTTGTTAAGTGCCGTTGAGTCGTTTCCAACTCATAGCGACCCCATGCACAGCAGAACGAAACACTGCCCAATCCCGCGCCAGCCCCACAATCCCTGCTATACTTGAGCCCATCATTGCAGCCACCGTGTCAATCCATCTCGTTGAAGGCCTCCCCCTCTTTCATTGACCCTCCACCCTACCAAGCATGACATCCTTCTCCAGGGAATGGTCCCTTCTTACAACATGACCAAAATAGGTGAGACGAAGTCTGGCCATTCTTGCTTCCAAGGAGCATTCTGGCTGCAATTACTCCAGGACAGATCTGTTAGTTCTTTTAGCAGTCCATGGTACTTTCACCATTCTTTGCCAGCACCACAACTCAAAAGCATCAACTCTTCTTCGGTCTTCCTTATTCATTGTCTAGCTCTCACATGCATATGAGGTGATTGGAAATATCATGGCTTGTGTCGGGCACACCTTAGTCCTCAAGGAGATATCCTTGCTCCTCAGCAGTTGATACAGTTCCTTCACAGTTGACTTTCCCAATGCTACACGTCGTCTAATGTCCTGACTGCTGCTTCCATTGGCATCGATTGTAGAACCAAGCAACGTGAATTCTTTGACAACCTCAATCTTCTCTCCATTTATTGTGATGCTGCTCATTGGTCCAGTTGTGAGGATTTTTGTTTTCTTTATATTGAGACGTAATCCATACTGCAGACTGTACTCTTCAACCTTCATCAGTAGGTGCCTTAAGTCATCCTCACTTTCAGCAAGCAAAGTTGTATCGTCTGCATATCTCAGGTTGTTAATGATTCTTCCTTCAATCCTGATACCACATTTTTCTTCATATAGTCCAGCTTCTCGGATTATTTGCTCAGCATATAAATTGAATAAGTACGGAGAAAGAATACAACCCTGACGCACTCCCTTCTTGATTTTAAACCATGTAGTGTCCCCTTGTTCTGTTTGAACGACAGCCTCCTGGTCAAGGTACAGATTCCTCATGAGTACAATCAAGTGCTCGGGAATTCCCATTCTTCTCAATGTTATCCATAATTTGTCATGATCCACACAATCAAATGCCTTTGCATAGTCAATAAAACACAAGTAAACATCTTTCTGGTATTCTTTGCCTTGAGCCAAGATCCATCCTACAACAGCTATGATATCCCGTGTTCCACGTCCTCTTCTGAATCTAGCTTGCACCTCTGGAAGTTCTCTGTCAATATACTGCTGCAAACGTTTTGAATTATTTTCAGTAAGATCTTTCTTGGGTGCGATATTAATGATATTGTTCTAAAATTACCACATTCTTTGGAATGGGAACAAATATGGATCTCTTCCAGTCAGTTGGCCAGGTAGCTGTCTTCCAAATCTCTTGGCATAACTGAGTGAGTGCCTCCAATGGGGCATCAGTTTGTTGAAATATCTCAATCGGTATGCCATCAATTCCCGGAGCCTTGTTCTTCGCCAGTTCTGCACCATCTTCATAATCCTTGCTATGCTAACCTCTTAGACTGTGAGAAAATAAATTTGTTTAGTAAATCCATCTACTTGTGGTATTTCTATTATAGCAGCACTAGCAAACTAAAACAGAATTCCATGTACAGCTTGGATCTCTCCTTGGGTTTCTGAGACAGTATCACTATGGAAGTAGATTGCCCAACCTTCCTTTCAAGGTGTGACTGGTGGGTTTGAACCTCTAGGCCTTCAGGTTAGCCATCAGATGCCTTAGGCACTACGCCACCAGAGCTCCTAGATAGAAAAAGAATTAAAAAAAAAAAATAGGTTCAAATATTTGGGCATCTTTTCTGCGGATAAACTAATTAAGCCTCACATCTGAAGGACTCACTCCTCTTTTGCATTTCTTGCAGATTGATGGGCTGTGTTCTCACCAGTGCCTGTTGCTTAGATCTAGCTTCTGCTCTTCTGAACAACTCAAACTTGGGGATGCTGGACCTTGGAAACAATGATTTACAGGATGATGGAGTGAAAATTCTGTGTGAGGCTTTGAGCCATCCAAGCTGCAACATTCAGAGACTTGGGTGAGTTCACAGTTTTCTATTAGGAAAAGGATATCTATATGGTGTCTAGTATAACAAAAAGAAGTTTAGTATATGGAGAGATGATGAAAAACAAATGGGAACAGAAGGTAAGTTATTCTCAGAAATAAGAATCTGAATTCTAAATGTATTGCATATTCTTTAATATAGAAGCCATATTTCTCATTTATTTGTGTCCTCCTCCGTGCCTCAGATAGGTATATATTAAGTGAATGGTATGTTATTTAGGCTTTCCATGTTTATCATAGGAGCTCTGGTAGCGTAGTGCCTAAGGCACTTGACTGCTAACCAGAAGGCTGGTGGTTCAAAC